AGGGCATCACTGCCTTCAAAGTCGACCGGGCTGAAAACCTCAAGAGCTACTTTCACTACTTCACCTTCTCTTTCATTCTCTGATGGTGAGGGCTCACAGGACCTGCAGAGTTTTACCTCCAAAATGCCTTTCACCTGTGAGCCAACATTGTTCCATACCTGCTGTCAATTCTCTAAGCCAACTGTTACTCTCTCCTGCTCAGACTGCTTTAATTCCTCTTGATCATTAAGCCTGCGTTCATTTTCTTTTCTCCTAACAAGTACTACAACAAGGAATAACCCTGATTTTTCTTCTCCTTTCTTCGGTCAGTGGTTGCCATCCTATTAAATAAATTAGGTTTAAGTTCTTCAACAAAGCATTCCGAACCTCTAATCCTCTCATTTACCTTCGCTCTCAACAATTTCCCAACATTTCTTCAGGGTAACATGCCCTCCACTTCACTGAAGTCCAAACTATCCTTTAAGAACCGCTCATTAGAACCCTCTCAGTGGTTTATTCTGCACCCGTTCTCACAAAGCAACATTCACCTCTACCATGCACTACAGAACAGCACTTTATTAATACAATATTATATTCAGTTCTGTGGTATATTTATTTAAAAGTGCATGCCTTTCCATATTTGGGATCTGACCAATGAATAAGGAGGTCAAAAGACAGTATACAAAGCAACTTTTGAAAAAAAAAAAAAGAAATGCTCAAAATATATACAATAAAAACTGTAAGAGTTAAAAGATTACTAGTTAAAGTCTTCATTATATGCATAATTTTTTTATCACAGGTAAACCAAAGTAACTCTTAGAAAGATTCTTTTAAATCATTGAAATAAAGCTTTTTCTAAATTACAAGTGGTAAACTTTGGGATCATTTCATTGTCGCAGAGTAAATTTATTTCAGTAAATAAGCAGTAAAAATTTATTCGAGTAATAAGCAAAATGACCCACACACTTTATATGCTATGGTATTATCCCCTATCCAAGCCTACTAGGACCCGGGATTCTGCTCAGGCACAATACTCTCAGTGAGGAAAAGGAAATACAGAGTAATAACACAGTTAATGTTATTCCCTGTTTCAAAGACCTAAGAAGGTAAGATACTCAAAAAAACCAACCAACACACGAATAACTGGCATTCAAAACCCACATTTTATCCCATGGGAACTATTCTTCAGGGGTCTGAGAATTCAACTTAAAATTCACTTTTAATGTAATCTAAGCATCTTTGATTGACACACTCTACAGTACATTCTGATCACAGTGAAATTATAGAAAATGAATTATAGTTCAAGCTTGACAAATGTACTACTAATGGTAAAAGGCAGGAAAAGGCTATTTGGCATCATCATTTTTTAAACGCTTTTAAAACTCACTGTAATGTAATTTCAAATAAATGACAAGGACAGCAAGACAAAAATGTAGGGAAGTGCTCAACTTGCTTTGCTCTTTAGCATGAATTAATTATTTTCTAATTTCTCGAGAAATACACATTCAGTACATTTAGCATCTAATAGATGGAAAATTTTTTTTCTATCTTCAATCACCTGACTAACTCTTGTGAAAACCACACTCAGAAACCTCATATTAATAAATTATGATTTCAACCATACTGATTACCAATCATTTCCTTACCCTCACCTCCACATTTCCAACAAGGGGCTAATAATGCTGTCCCTAAAAGGCAATGCCCAACAAACTCAAGACAGAAAACTGAACCGTGGAAAACCAGGAAAACAAGGCTGTTCTCTCCTCCACCCCCACTACACTTTGTTTTGAATCCATATTACAGCCATCTCCACAGCACATAGTAAGTATCCCTTTATGTGCATACCGATGAAAGTGCTCTCTGAGTTCCTCTACAAGTCAAGGGCAAAACCATGTCTATGCCAGCTTTGTATCCTAGAAACTGGCACTGAGTAGCAACATAGTTGATTGTCAATACACGCCCACTAATTGTTTAAGAAACTGAGGCCAGGGATGTAGCTCTGCAGTTCAGTGCAAAGGCAAGGTGCTGGTACAAAAAAAAAAAAAAAAAAAAAAAAAAAAACCCTGTGTCTGTATTAACTGTGGAACCAACTTCACATTTCATGTTGGGCATATTTGAATCTAGAAGTACATCTGTGAATAGTAGTCTATGCATCCACTGATGGGATCCTTTGGGTCATGCTCCTGTTCTTTCCTCCCGTCATGCACAGGCTAACTCTGTGGTACTAATGTTACAAAACAGCCTACATTGTATAAGGAACACAACTGAGAACTTACTCTCTCTTACTCTCAGTGACCCTGGAGAGAGAGTCTGCCCTCTGAAAACAGAAGTGAGTTCAAACAGCAATCTCAGTTCATCATTTTAAATTCTGCATGACAAGGGATGGTGACACTACACACTTACTAGAAATTTCTTTTACAGTCTATTTTGTCTGTTTTACTGTCCCTTATAAAATAAATTACATTGTAGTTATGGCTCAAGATCTGCTCTCAGAGGCTTCATAAAAAGAAAAATGTTAACTACACTTAACCTTGCCTTTTCCTAACAACCAATTAGACCTGAAAATCGCTGTTTTTCATTATTCACAAGCTAAATTCATGCTACTGCATTTATTTAAAAATATATAGTTAGGTAGTGTAGCAAGGAATTAACTGTGGGACTAATAATAAAGTTCCTGATGTAGCCATCCAAACAATGTTGATGTTAGCAACTATTTCCTTCACCACAGACAAATAAGAAAAGATAAACACACGTGGGAGTGCTTGTGAATTGCACACTTCAAAAAAGTATCTCTCTAATTAGTACCATGAGGGTCTTTTTTATTTCCATGTGGTAGAAAAATAAACATACTGAACTCTTTTATAATAATTTATGTGATCTTTTTCCACAAACCCCACAGCTGTATTGACCACTTTCATCTCTGACACATAATGAAGATAAAAAGAGAGAAACACATGTAATGTACCTTTGCCAACACTGGGACCCACATCCCACTAAGTGGAGACTTTGGGTAATAGATTTCCTTGTGAGTCAGGCTCTGCAACTGTAGAAGCTAAACCTAAACCCACAAAAGAGTTAATAAAATAAATAATGACACCTACCAAATGATCATGCATTTTACCATAATTCATGCTGAAATGACTAAGGGGATAAAATTTATACTAAAGACCAGTTACAGACCAAAATTAGGCACATCATTTTTACTATTTCAATAATGACTTCGCAGTAACTATAGCTTATCATTTTCGTGTATTAATCATTTTTATTTGATGGTCTAATCCTCAACCACAAATACAAAGTTTGGCCACTCAAAGAATGGGTGTGGATACAGAGTAAAAGCTCCCCTGTAAAATCTAATCCATCTGTTGTTGCCTACTTATGTAACAGATAAATTAGAGCAAACCTTCAACTCGTTCTCTCACCCTCAAGTAATGATAGGCAAGGAGAATGACCTCCAGATACACACACCTTAGCAAAACAAGCAGAGCTTGTACTGTCTGCCAAATATATGCATTTTTCCAACAATACACTCCTGATTCTTAAGTACCCAACACTAAAACTAAAACCTGACCCAAAGCAGTTACAATGTTCCGACACTATGACATCATTCTGTCTGGAGCACTTTAACATAACAATTTGAATAAATTGGCAGAAGCTTAAATAGGTCACACTCAATCCCAAAAGTAAGGCTATGGATCAGGCAGAAATACTCTGGTTCTGCATTTAACATCAGTGGCTACACAGTAACAGGCCCATCACTCACCTATCTTATCTGTACTTTCTGTAAAGATAAATGAATATAAAGTAAATCTTGTCACCTTCCTGTATTGCTAATACTATGGACAGGGTGTTTTTGTTTTTGTTTTGCAGCCTACATTTGCACACAGTAACAAACCAAAGCAAAGGTGAATGCCATCACATGATATCCCACAGGCTTTGGCACATCTCTACAATGGAGTATTTTGCTTCTTTTTTCCCCCATTCCTCTCTCCTCTCTTCAGCTCCTCTTCCCCTCAATTTACAAAAGCTTTGTTTCAATGGAGTATTTCTAAAGCTTCCATTTCTGCAGTTATAAAGACAGTAAAAGTCCTACCTTGATTAAATTCATAATGAGCCACAAGTATCTATGAAATAAAGTCATAAGGGTTAAACAATAAATACAGGACACTGCTACTTTTTCAAAAGCAAAAACTATTCTTTTTCCCAAAGCAGCAAGCTACATGTTAATCATATTTATGCCATAATCCTACTTAGTACTGACAGCAAGTTTTACAGTAGACCCACGGTATGGTATTTGGGTTGCCCTTTGACTTGGACTTTGCTGAGAACTGATATCCAATTTGATTTCTCCATGTGAAATTACAGTTTCATATGTAGCAGAAACCACAGAAGTTTCTGTACTCTCAGCTCCAACACCCCCAACATACATTTTCCTTTCACAATAAACAATGTGCAATTGACAAGGTTTCCTGTTTCAAAATGGAATAGTAGATAAAAGGAACTCTACCTACACCATTAACAACAAAAAAGTTTCTTAATGAACATGAATTCTCACAGATGAAAATGGAAATTCTCATACTGCCTCCTTACTTGAGGACTAATTTGGTGCTCTCAACAGAGCATCACACATGTGATTGTTTTAAGGGCTCTATCACAGCCTTCTCATATTATTTTTTGCACCGTCTGTTTTTATCTTAACAGTAGCACCTCACATAAGACTGAACAAACACTTCTAAACCATACAATGGTCATACACCCACAAAAACCAGCCAATGATAAAAACTTTGCATATCTGAGTCATATAGAGGAACTCTGAACCTTAAGAGCATGATAAAAGATTTTAAAAAAGAAAACAAGTCTGCTCTGAATTCAACCTTTCAAAGCAGTGAGTGGAAGAAAAATAGTAATATAAATCAAAAGATTATCAGACAATAATTGTGAATTAAGAATATATATAAATAAACCTGGAGGAACCACAGCCAGGGTGAATTGGGCTATACACAAGTGCAATCAAAACTCACCACTTTGTCCATGAGTTTCCAAGTTTTCTCCACAGTTTTGCGATCAGCTGCAGCTTGTTTGGGGGGACCAACTGCATCCTGAATAGCATCAATAATACCCAAAATTCGGCCTTTTCTAGGGTTTCCTCCTCGACCACCAGGATTTCTGCCATTCATAGAATTTGCCATCTGGACTTTTACAGCTTTAAAGGTAAATTAAATACAAAAGAAAATTTAGTTGGCTATGAAAACATCTATCCAACAAAAAACAGAGTAAGTTAACTTGTACCCACCACAAAACCAACAGTCCGAGACTGAACTTTTTAATAACTATGCGAAGTTACATTCTCCAACCTTACACAAAATTAGGTTAGGAGCAGCGTTCATAGATTTGGGTTTACAACTCTAAGAGTTAAAGATTCACCCCTCTCATGTTTCAAACAGCCAAAAGCTTAACTTAAGAGCCAACTCATCACAACAAAAAACAACTGCTATAGGTTTCCTCCACTAGATAAGCACACACTGTTCTCCTGCTCTCCTCCTAATCTAACTGTAACCCCTAGAATACATTGGGGAGCCTCGCTTGGGATCCTCCCTTCCACCCTGGAGGATTTCGCGAGTTACTATATGAACGTAAAGTGTTCTTCACAAGCATAAGGGACACGTCTGTGGTCAACAAAGGCGTAGGACTTGGATTTCCCCCGCAAAAACCACCAAGCAGGGACACACAACACAGGATTCTTTTAACCGATGCGATGAGTAGTTAACTCCTAAGAGCTAAGTCAACCCACAAACAGCTCATTTTGGAGAAGAGGCTGAGACACTGACAAGAGCGGGCACCCAAAGCTGAGTTCACTTTTTTTCGGCTTCTCGCTTCTCGTCTCAGCCTAGGGGGATGCAGGAAACCCAAAGCTTTGCTTCAGAGCGTCTCTGCCCCTCGGGGATCTCGGCTGGTGAGGGAGGAAGAAGGGACGGACAGACGGACGCGAGGAGAGCGGACCCAGCGCCCCAGCCCCGCGCGCCCCGGGCTCGGCGCCCCCGGCGTCAGCAATCCCAGCCCCGCGTGTCTTCCTCTCCCTCCTTCTCCTCCACCTCCCCGGCTCGGCCAGTCCGGTTCCGGTCTTTAAACCCCTCACTTCGAACTGTGGACGGCGGCGACCAGAGCAGCTGGAAGCCAGGCTGTCTCCTCTCCCTCCGCGGCTGCGCTGGGCTGCCCAGGGCCGCGGGGCGCCGCCGGCGCCCCCCAGGCTGCCCGGGGCCACGCGTGTGCGCGGGTCCCACTCCACACGCACGCAACCTGGAGCACTGGGGAACCCGAGTGAGGAATGTGTAATCGCGGTGATAGCACACTCCCGGGAAAAGAGCAGCTTAGAGCAGAGGCCACCGAGACGTGCAAACGCAAGAATTACCGTCAAGAAGAATCCACGCCCGCTCTCGCCTCCCGCCCGACTCGCGGGGAGGCCGCCGCTGCACGAGCTGGAGGAGGAGACCACTCGCTGGCCACCCCACCCCTGTAACATACACAGAGACGGGCACGGGGCGGGGCCGAGGGCGAGGCCCCACGCCAGCCGACCAATCCGGCGCGCCCAGGCGCTGCTCGACAGCCAGCAACGCCAATGGTCGAGAGGCGCCCGCCCTCCTGGCGCTACCACCGGGTCCACGTCCTCTACAGTACACAATGGCCCCAAAGGAAGGCCCACGCGTCTCAGGTCCCAAATACAGAGGGACTCGGAGAGAAACAGACCTAGACTGCGTGGGAATCACAGTGGAAAAGGGAAAGGAAATGGAAGTAGAGTAGCTAGGCAGTAGGGAGTTAACCAATGAGGGGCGGGCAGGTAGGCGTGAGTGCAGGGAGCTGGAGCCGGAGCCAACTGGAGCTCAAAGGCGGGACTTCCTGCTCCGCGCACCTTCCTAGTCTTTTGTTTCATAGCAACAGAGTAGTGGTTGGAAGGGTGTTGCTTCTCTATTCTGGGCTAGTCCCAGAATTAAGAAATTCATCCCCCTAGGGCTGCCAAGCTCCTCAACTCAGGACAGCAGCCAGACAGAACTAAGATAGTTTCTTGTTGCCTATGAAAACAGGAGCAATAGTCCCCAAACCTCGAAAATGAAGTATAAACCTCACCTAGTGTAGACTAGGGTAAAACCTACCTGCCAACTAAAACTTCCTAAATTTCTTAGTGTTTCCTTTTTACTATTAGTTCTAGAAAGATTCCAAATCAAACATCGGGTTAATGAAAAAGGCAAATAGTTGACAGCGCTGGCCAACTAGTCTCTGCTAAGCAAGCCAAGGCAGTAAAAGTACCAGACAATGGCAAATAGTAATATATGTAGTTTTTTGTTGTTGTTCAGTACAAGTTTCTGCATAAATAATTGAAGCAAACTCTGAGTCGTCTTTACTACCCATAGATTTTTTTTTTTTTTTTTTGGCCTTTTTTCCTTTTTATCGGTACCAGCAATCGAGCTTGTGACTGCCTGCTTGCAAGGCAGGCACTTATGCCGCTGAGCTAAATCCCCAGCCGCCATCCATAGATTTCTGTCTGTTTTAGTAGCTACTTCATATCTGCTCCTATTCTCTTCCAGTCTTTTTAATCTTTCTGTGGCTCCTTCCTTTTTATCTATAAAAACGTGCACATCTGGCTACTTTTAAGATGAAAAAGCTACTGTGCCAGAAGATGATATGTTAAACAAACACCCTTCATTTTTTTTAATTTCAGTACTATCACATATGATATCAACATCTCCCTGAAATTCCACGGTTCGGAACTTGTTTTCCACTACAGTTGAGACTGTTGAATATATTTTCCACGTTGGGCTTCTCAGTGTTACATTTTGCATAATTTTTTCAAGTGTTCCTAATTGGGGCTGGGGATTTAGCTCAGTGGCATAAGCACCTGCCTTGCAAGCAAGATGGCCGTCATGAGTTCGATCCCCAGTACCGATTTTTTTTTTTAAAAAAAGTGTTCCTAATCTTGTTCTAACTGGGTAGCCTTCTAGTTTCTCCGTGGTTCTACTTTTTAGTAAATAAGCATTTTAATAATGTGATTATTACTTTAGAGTTTCCTGAGTTATTACAAACATGCTTTGTTCTGCAGTCCTGTATTTGGATGGTTAAGATTTTCATTTGAGGAAAAAAAGATCAAATGTGCTCTTTGCAACCAGCCAGGTTCAAAAATGTAGTTCAGTAAGTAAGTTTACTTGCATGGCGTTACTTCTTCACCAATAATTAAGGAACAGTTTCCAATCTTTACTCTGTGTTTATATACAAAAGCAATGGCCTATCCCACCCACCCTTATCTCCCTTACTCATGAGATTAGTGGCTATCTTTACTAACTGCAAACCACACACACACAAAGAAGTGTGTTGGGTCATCTTTAAATAATTTCAAAAAGAGTGAATTATGTTGAGAAGGTTTTCTGCTCATAACAGTAACTTAAGAGAATATAATTGTGTTATTCATATTCATGTGTCCATAATAGTGACAACACTAGCCAAATAGTCTTTTCACACATGTTAATGCACATGCCATTCCCTTTATATCGTTTTGTAACTTAGAGGAAAGAATGCGAAAATGGCATGGTCTGTGGTGCAAAGCATATCATATGGATACAAATTTTATGTACTGCATATTGTTATACACACAGGTATTAGTATGAGATGTACTTGCTTATGTGTCTATTATATATACACATATGTGTGTATCCATATAATGAAAGACTTTATTCTCAAATAACTATTTTTCGAAGCCATCTAGAGTCTATGTTAAGTTGCAGGACTACTTGGAATAGCAGGAGTATCAGCTGAGCTCAAATTAGAAGCCAGAAGTCTTGTATCTGAGAAACTAACATAGCTTCCCCATCTGTTAGCGTGAGTTACTGTGCAATGAAGGGCAGTAAAGATCTTCTGGGAAAAACTGAGGCACAAGAGATGAAATCCAATAAGAGACTTCATGCTGAGAGTTTAAGGAGTCACTCTTCTGTAAAAGAAATAGATTTTCCTTCATTCTTTCAACACGTATTATGTTTGTATTGACAAATGTTGATCCACTGGCTCGACTGACATCATAACTGAACTCTCAAGTTTTAGTTTGGGTTTAACTGGGATGCATGGTAAATGACAACAGAACTAACAATGACAAACAAAATACAACCTTATTTCTCTTACATGTAGAAAAAAATCTGAATATAATAATTACAGATAAATATTGTGGCTCCATAATTTTCTCAAAGACTCAAGTTCTGTTCTCTGTATTGTATCTGGTTTCTGCCTTCCAAATCACCTCATATCCCATGAATTTTCAGACTAAAAGCTAAGAAAAAGAGTCCGAAGGACAAATTACGTTTCCAGCAGATTCTGTTTCCTTTAAATACCCTTTAGATAATTCCTACAAATACTTCTACTAAACAGTTCAAGCCAGAATTTAGAATCATGGCCAAACTTAACTGCAAAAATTCTGGGAAGTAATGTGCTTTTTGTTTAGGGAAGAGTATGATCAACTAAAAATTCAAATTTTTGTTTCTTCTGCTTTTTTCTGGTTCCATAGTTTTTCGTAACTACATTGTATTCTTCATATTTCACTGTAGATTTTTCCATATTTCAGAAAATCATTTGAATAATACTTTTAACCTCAACAGTTTGGTTAAAGAATGTGAATTTGAAATAATTTGTCAGAAAAAATTTATCAATAATCTGTGCATATTTACTTATGCCAAATTAACATGATATAAAATTTTTATTTTTACTTTCCATCAAAATATAACTTCATAATTCTTAAGGCTTAAGAGTGTCTTGGTGTTGATCACATCTCTCAGTTTGGCAGGTCTGGGAACTGGCAAGTTTAATCACAGTAATTAGAGTCTGAAATATATCAATAGGAAACCAAATAACAAAGATTAACATAGCATAAAGCAGTGTAATTACTGTATGTGAAAAACTGTCTATGAATTATACTAATATTAACTGGGACCAGTTGTTTATTCACTTTTCTTCTCAAGAAGCTATGTGAAGCACAGAAAGATGACAAATGAACAATAGATCAGAAAAAGCGAATTCCCCCCAAGAGGGGAATATAACCATGTCAATCCACATGGATATAGTATATCCCAAATCTAGAGAAAGTCTTCCTTACTGGTTTTTAAGTTTCAGTTTCCAATGTACAAAACTTAGCCTTTTCTATTTTAAAGGCCTTGTCAGTTTTAGGAGGCATGATCTGTAATGCATCTATTATTATTTTTTCAGCTGTGATTTGTAACTGCTCACTCATTCACTTTTCCATTAACCTTTTTTGGAGTGTCTAATACATGCCAAAAATTACAATACATACCAGAAAACACAAAGATGAACATGAACCAGCCATTGTTCCTGAAGAGAAATCTGATGCAAAAGGAGACTACCTACTCACACTGTAAAAACCCCCTATTTCTGTAGACAAGATCATGATGAAAAACTGAGGAAGGCAGTGGACCCAACATGGAAAAAGTAATCACTAAGGCAATGCATATAACATTAATAAGGTTATCAGTTAAGAGTAGTAATAATCAGGGAATAGCTTATAAGCAAGGGCATAGAAGAAAAAAATCTTTGTATGAAGAGAGAATAAAAAATAGCTTCATTTTGTAGGAAGTAAAAAATAGTAAGCAAGTCTTAAAAAGTGTCAAGTGATGAGTAATTTAAAATTTAACCTAATGTATCTGATTGTAGAACCTGGTTGTGATGGAGGGTATGGGAAACCATTGAAGGATTTTTAAGCCAAGAGAGCTTATTAAAGAACAGAAGAGGCAAAGTACATGACATTATGACATCTATATT